GCATAACCTTGAGCCGTAATTCCTGGCCCCGAAACCTTGACTCAGAAGTACCGGGTTGGTGTCCGGCGGGGGATAGTTTTTCACCAAAGTTTTAACTGTTGTTTATTTGTACTGTGCTGGTTACTTTTTGTTGTTGTTATTGTAATATGTGTTTGCAGGAGCATATTGTAAAACAGCGGTAAGATCTCGCCTGTACATGTTATCCTGCCTAAAGATGTTTTTAAATAAATAAAAAAAAATAAATAAAGTATATAAACCGTAATAATTCAATCAATTCATTTATTAAATAATCTTAAAATACTGTTGTAGTCTTAAAGAAACGTTATGAATTTTACAATATAGATTAAAAATTAATTCTTTTAATTGTTTAGGGCATTTTTATATATATTTTATTACCTTTCCTATTTTGTGAAAAACGCATGCGTTTCTGCAAAATGCGTGTTTCATCCAAAATCACTTTAAAATGCGGGACCGTCCTGCACGATGCGGGACGGTTGGTAGCTATGTTACTTACATGCTTCCTTGTGGAACCCTCAGATTGATACCATTCAAAACATTTAGTCTCTGTCTACCAGACCCATAATGATGATATACATTGCTGGCAAAGACTGCTGATTTTGCTGATTGGATTGCTGGTTTCTATCAAAGAACACGTAGATTTGTATTTAGTCTAAATTATAAATATTATATTTAAAACAATAGTTGATTTCAGTGTGCAGGAAAATGATCTAAGCAACAAAAAAAAGTCACCACCTATCCCATTATTTAAACAGCTAGTGGCCCCTCATCTAATCATTGAGCCCTCCTACTTAACCTTCACCCATCAGTCCATTATTTCAATATTCCTTGCCTCAGGGCGGATTCAGAGATGTCCGAAAAGTGGGGGGGGGGGAAGCAAAATAATAATAAATAATAATAATAATAATAATAATAATAATAATAATAATAATAATAATAATAATAATAATAATAATAATAATAATAATAGTAGTAGTAGTAGTAATAATAATACTATAATTATATATAATTTACATGTAAAAATACTTACACGAACAGAGAAAGAACTTGAAGTTTGAGGAGACTTGTTGTCACCAAGCTTCAGGAAAAATGTAATTCCAATGGATGTTGATACAATGTGCGATACCAATAATAATAATAATAATAATAATAATAATAATAATAATAATAATAATAATAATAATATAATTATATAATTTACATATGAAAATACTTACACGGACAGAGAAAGAACTTGTTTTTTCCATCTTGTTAAACAAATTTTAACTAACCTAAAAAAAAAAAAGCAACGTGTTTACTAACGCTTGCTGTCTTGAGATTATTACCCCGATAATAATAGTTTAAGTTGTTCAAAGGACAAATTTGACTGGAGGTGTGAGTTTAGTTGCCAAATAAACATACTCAATTAACGCTCTTGATTGGTCAGAATGAATAATTAGGACACACACTTCATAGACTTTGGAATTACTGTTAAACCCCGGATCAAATATGATCTGCGATTAAGCCAAAGTGGACGGTTCATATTTGTTTATTCGATATTGGAGATTTCGCATACGAAAGATACGCCATACGAGATAAACAATACATACGGTACACAATTAAAGACTAGTATACTAAATCATAAACGCAAGAAGACTCGGTGCCTTCCTAAGCCAGAGTGATCGCATGAAGCTCATACACCTATCACACCTTTGACACAAAATCAAATAATAAGCATGACGCACCCGTATTATTTCCTTTATTAAAAAATGTACCTTAATACGTAGAGCAATGACCATGAGCTTTTGTTGAAGAGCCTCGTGAGTCAATCACTTGATCAGCTCGACAGAATTTCTGAGCCTTTCAGAGCCTTGTTAAACCATTGAGCAATCATCTTTTATGATTCATAGTTAAACAGGGCCCAATACTGTCCGTTAAAGCAATTCAACTGTATTCATTCTTATCCACCGGAAAGAGAAGTTTGTATGTCGGTTCCGTATAACCCTATACAAAACTGTACTTTAATTTGAAATAAGAAACTAAATGAAAACTAAGAGTTATACAGAAAACTTTAGAAGCACATAGCATGATAGTTGGTGCCTATTCGAGAATTAAAGCAAAACAATAGAGAATAGTAGAATTAAAAACTTACCAGAATAATGTTATACCGCTGCGGTTGAGAATAAGAATATTACTGTTAATTGTAACTTTTGTGTATGTATACACAGAAGTAGGCACAGACTTCTTTAAGTGCGGGTTGTTTTACGTCCCCGTCGCCCACTCTGAATAGTGCTTCTTACAAAATTTGCAGAAAAGCGTTTAAACATTTGCTTCAGCTAGGACTCAAGTTGTCTGCTGGTGGCATACCTTTACCAACTGCCAATTTTAAACAAAATTTAACATACGAGAGAATACACAGACTTCACCGAAATGTTAAGCTCATAGATCAAGTTGCATGAATGAATGGCTCCACAAACCACTCAACATCCCGTGACTGAATATACAAAGCTACTACAGATTACAATAACAAAGATCACGAGTGGATCTGCAACCGAATAAAAACTTATTTTAGTTTAGATATGTATTGTATATAGACCGATTTACATAACTCTCGTAGTCCCTGCACTCTTTTCCACACAACTGACTCACACTTTTACTGGAGCGATTGTTAAGCTACAAAAGCTTATAGGTCGTAGATACAAAAAAAAATATCAAAATATATTTTAAATGTTATTTACACACACACGTACATACATATATACATATTGTTGTTTTATATTTGTAGGGA